AAATGAGTATCAGGAATTAAATAATTTTCCTGGGGAGTAAAGCGTGACTGGCGCGCAAAGCTGACAACCTTACCGCCATCTTTGAGCCGATTGTCTAAACAATGTGGGACCCTCAATGTCTCACAACCCTATGGGCCTTCACGGCCTGGTTCGGGGATAGCTTTACTTTACTTAATTACTTATGTGAAGCAGTCAGATCAGAACACATCAGTCATTAATATAAGATATTGCATAAGTGGGACATCATTCACTAGCAACGATCTTGAGTTCTCATGGATGCACCAATGGTTTGCCCAGTTTCTTCAGGAAAATTCCTTCATAATGGGAATTGGAAATTTCTTCCCGAATTTCAGTTCATGACTAGTCTGTCCCTTGTTAAACATCATTCATGACACTACATTGTCCTACCAGTAAAGTTTGTAGTTCTCTCTGATGGCAATAATTAGATCTGTACTAGGTGTATGTGACGACGTACAAAGTCTTAACAGTCCAGAAAAGTTACAAGCTTGCTTTAAGAATTGGCAACTCTTTAAGTACACATTTCATTTATTCACCTTCCATAAATCCTGTCGAGAGTACATTCTCATGCGGATGTGGAGATCGTCCTTGTTACAGTCACAACTAAGGATTACAGTTGTCGTCCAATAGCATGTNCAGAAATGAGTATCAGGAATTAAATAATTTTCCTGGGGAGTAAAGCGTGACTGGCGCGCAAAGCTGACAACCTTACTGCTATCTTTGAGCCGATTGTCTAAACAATGTGGGACCCTCAATGTCTCACAACCCTATGGGCCTTCACGGCCTGGTTCGGGGATAGCTTTACTTTACTTAATTACTTATGTGAATCATCCAGATCAGAACACATCAGTCATTAATATAAGATATTGCATAAGTGGGACATCATTCACTAGCAACGGTCTTGAGTTCTCATGGATGCACCAATGGTTTGCCCAGTTTCTTCAGGAAAATTCCTTCATAATGGGAATTGGAAATTTCTTCCCGAATTTCAGTTCATGACTAGTCTGTCCCTTGTTAAACATCATTCATGACACTACATTGCCCTACCAGTAAAGTTTGTAGTTCTCTCTGATGGCAATAATTAGATCTGTACTAGGTGTATGTGACGACGTACAAAGTTTTAACAGTCCAGAAAAGTTACAAGCTTGCTTTAAGAATTGGCAACTCTTTAAGTACACATTTCATTTCATTTATTCACCTTCCATAAATCCTGTCGAGAGTACATTCTCATGCGGATGTGGAGATCGTCCTTGTTACAGTCACAACTAAGGATTACAGTTGTCGTCCAATAGCATGTACATTTGTATAAAATACTGATAAACATGTACAATATAATAAATAAGTTAAGTTTAGTAGTAAAAGTAATGGCAAACCTTATACAATTTGTACAGTTTTATGCAAGTCTATTAATTAAAAATTCAATAGTTAAAACATAATGTCATTAATGAGTTTTGTATAAAATACATTCAGTATATAATAAATTGAAATAAAGACTAGTATACAGTAATATAAAAATTGTGTATATCTAAAATAAGCATCTAGAAACCAGAACAGAGACTGACAATCTTGTCTTCTTTTAATTGTAAAGCAAGACAATTACTCTCATCTTAAAAAGATTTGTAACCAAAATATTCCTCTAAAGAATAAAGAGAATGTAAATATAAAAATTGTTTCACTTGTACCTCAAAACTCTTAGTGTCACTCGATATATCCTTAATATATTGTGGTAGATTATTATAGACCTTTGTTCCTAAACAGTAAACCCCCTTTTGGTATTTACTCAAATTTACAAGAGGCTGATGGAGATTATTTTGCTGTCTGGTATTTATTCTATGAATCTCTGAATTTACTATGAATTTGTTTCTCTTTCTTATCACAAAGAGCATAAGAGAGAGTATGTTTTGAGATGCCAGAGGTAAGATTTCTAATTCTCTAAATGAGTTCCTGCACGAATCCCTCCTTCTGCGCCCCAACATAATTCTAATTATATTCTTTTGCATTCTAAAAATTTTTATACTTTGGGGTGAGTTTACCCCAAAAGGGTGAACCACAATTTATAATAGAATTAAAATAAGAGTGATAAACCATTTTTAAGGTATTTATGGACGTGTATGGTTTAAGCGATCTTATTATGTAGCAGACTGCACTTAGTTTAGAACTAATATACTCAATGTGGTATTTACAGCTCATTGTGTCATCATTGAATATTCCAAGAAATTTAATATTGGATATAGATGTAATTTGTTTTTTATCATATACAGTTTTTATTTCTAGCTGTAAATTGAATGTAGTGGGTTTTGTTAAAATTTATAGAAAGTTTCTTTACTTTGAAGCAGTCATTTATTTATACTATGAAAAGCATTGTTTATATTTACACAGAGATCATCATAGTTTGACCTTTTAACTAACAAACTAGTGTCATCTGCAAATAATATTTTCCCTTGGCACTACAGCCCCAGTGGGCCTAGGCCTACCTCCATGAACTCCGTTCACTTCGGTTTTTCTAGATCTTACACATATGGTAGGACTCCTTGGGCAAGTGATCAGCTCGTCGCGAGGCCTCTACCTGTAGACAAACACAGAAAAACGCACACAAACATCCACGCCCTGAGTAGGCTGCAAATAATATAGGTACAGTTTTATAATTTATAGTTTTGGGTAAATCGTTCATATAAATGAGAAATAACTGGACCCAGAATCGAACCTTACAGGACGCCATGTCTAATTTTGCCCAATGTCGAAAATTCATTGAGATTAAGATTTATACTTGTAATTAAAACCCTTTGATAGCTATTTCTGAAATAAGATTCAAGCCATAGTTTAGCTCTACCCTTTTATCCCATAGAACTCCAATTTCGACAACAGAACCTCATGATTAACACAATCGAAGGCCTTTCTAGGTCACAAAAAATGCCTCCTATTAAGTTTTTGCTGTTTAAGGTCTTACAGATTTCATTCACTAACTTGTATACAGCCTCATCCGTTGAAGATTTTGTTCTAAAACCAAATTGTTCTTCCACTAAAATGTTATTGTTATTTAAGTGCTCAGTCAATTGAATGCTCATAGCTTTTTGTAAGTTAAAAGTGATGTAGGCCTATAGTTGGAAATATTTGTTTTTTCACCCTTTTTAAACAGCGGTCTTATTTCTGAGTATTTTAAACAATCTGGGAAAATTCCTTGTGATAATGAATTGTTGCATATGCGAGTCAAAGGAGAGCTAACGAAAAGGGAACTCATTCTTAATACATGGATATTTCATCATATCCATAAGAGTTTTTTGCTTTGAGAGATTTAATTATATTTTCAACTTCCTTAGTTGATAAAGATTTAAGTTTAATATGTGGAAAGGGATTTATAAAAGTTTTCATTAAATACTGAATGGGAGTAGTGCCTGGAAGGTAACTAATATTAGTATTATGGTATTTCGTTTATTTTTTGCATTTTTATTTTCAGCTACAGATAAAAAGTAATTGTTAAAGGTTTCTGCAATTACATGCTTTTCTCTAATCCATTTTCCATCCACCTTTAATGTGCATATTTTTTCATTATTTGGCCCCTTATTAGGTTCTAATTTTACTAATGGTTTTATTTTTATTTTTGGAATTCTGAATTTTGTTATCATATGTATTTTAGCTTCCTTAATGACCTTAGATAAAATTTTACCGGATTTTTTATAATAGTTTCTTAATTCTGCATTATTAATGTTTCTACATGCCATATAGAGTACTCTTTTACGTTTACAGGATGTTTTTATTCCTATAGTAATCCAATCACTTATTTCATTTGAAATTTTAAGGTTTTTTTTTAACTTGAATAGTAAATTTTCAAGTAAGTCTCTAAAAAGGAGTTAAACATTATATTAACATCATCACTAGAAAATGTTGAGTCGCATGTTTCATAACTTAGTTTAATTAAAAAGTCATTTATTGCGTTTGTTTATTTTCCTTATTATTTTAAATTGTTTAGCATGTGTTCTCGTGTTTATTGTTTTAAATGTTATGGATTGTGCAGCATGATCAGACAGTCAATTTATTATAGGCCCCNGCTGCACGGCAACCAAGCAAACTCCAGCCATGGCCACACTGCGGCCCGGCCACTCACCACAACTAGCCTCTCTCCTTACCGGCGCGCGCCGCGCTACCTCTCCGATCAAGCACCTCAGCAACCGCGGTCCTTTTCAGGACCAACAAACTGTTCCGAAGAAGTGGGTTGTCATCGGAGTAATGACAAGACTGCATCAAGAGCCCCACAATATTAATATCCCCACAAATAATATATTCTTGTGTTCAGGTATATAGGTTTCTAAGTACGGTATCTGGTTTTGTTATGAATGTATCTATGTTTCCAGTTGGAGATCAGGTTTAACTTAACAGCACATACCTCAAAATCTTTTTCTTTACAATATCTTTTTAGGTCTATATTTACAAATTTCAAGCTTGTGCGTAGATAGATGCATACTCCTCCTTTTTCATACAAGGTTCTACAGTAGTGTGCTCCTAGTTTATAAGAATCTATGTTTAACTGTTGTAATTCCAAGAAATTCATGTGATGGTCTGTAAAACATAATAAGTGTGGGGAGGTTGGGTGTAGATGACTTAATAACTCATTTGCTTTCCCCCTTAAACCTGTACTGTTCTGATGGAAAATATTTAAGAATTTGATATCGTTTTCTTTTTTGATTACTCCATTTAAGGAAATATTTCTTTTTGGAGCACTTTTATTTACCATAAAAATCCTTATTTTTCATACGTGGTAGTTTTTGGAGTCTATTTGATTTGCGTACTGGTTCATTTTTTTGCTCTGTAGTTGTTTCTACTGAGTCATTCATAGCTGGACACTTGTTAGCTTGGATTTCTTGGATATGAACAAAACATATTTTACTCAACCAGGCAGCTAATATGCTTCCATAATTAAGACAATTCAATGGAATTTTGACTGTCTCAGTATTGTCGTTACTGTGAATTGTGGGCGTTGCACTAACCTTGTGGTATTCACCTCCTGTGCTGGACATAACCAGGCAGTCAGCGCCAGACCGGGCAGCTCCCTTGCCGTCCTCACACTGCTTCTCCCTTCAATCAGACAGAACTAACTGTAGATAAGAAAGCTTTCTTCTTCTCATGAAAATTCTATCCACAGTGGACAATATTAAACATAACTGCTAACCGAAGGTTTCTATATGATTTGTCTAGTTCACCAACTTTTCAAAAAGGAACAAAATAGAAACTGCCTAAAGTGCCTTCCTTTTGAGTAGAAAGACATGGAAAGAAGTGCTTGCACAGTGAACAGTTATTGGTCCTTCTAATCTGGAAATTACAAATTGCCACTCGAATGTGAACATAATAAGTCAATCACAAGAAGTGTGGGACTTCGAGTGTGCTGACGTTTATGAAGATGCTGGATTTTAGAATGGCAATGAGCAAGGGACAAAAGAGGAAATTGTCATGTAGCTCAATCTTTCTCTCTTTATGGAATAATGACACCCGCGAATAATTTTAATCTCCGATATTCGGTTTCCCCGTCCAATTCAAACAGCTTTCATCGAACTCTCTGTGTATGCACTTTGCACAATTTAGCGAGGCCGCGTTGTTCGGTGCGGGAAAGAGAAATTGTGCGTGATAATTACGTCCTTACGCCCTGCATGGGTTGGACAGAGAGGCTTGCAGAAATTACAGGTTAATAATGACATACTTTTATCTTTGCGGCCGTTTCTGCATTTCCAATATATGTTTCCTATTTTTGAAGTTTATTATGCACATATTTGCTATGTTTTAATTTTGAACTCAAAGGAATAGTTTATACAAATAATTCATGTTTATTAAAGACATATAGGCCCTAATTTTTTTAATGAGATAGGATGGGATGGTGTGGTGTGGATTGGATAAATCTGGCTCAAGATAGGGACCAGTGGAGGGCTCTTGTGAACACGGTGATGAACATTCGGGTTCCATAAAATGCTGGGAAATTCTTGAGTAGCTGCTGAATTGGCGGCTCCTCAAGAAGGGTTCAGCTCCATGAGTAAGTAAGTAAGTGAGTAAGTGGGGTGGGACTAAGTCTCTTGTACTGCGGCCACTTCTGGCCTATTGTACCAGCCCCAGATGATAGGTGAGGGTGACTGTGGAGCAATTGGTGGAATGAAGATTGGCAGGGCCCAATATAGGCCGTAACAATAGAAAGTATTGCTGGTTCATAAGCTATACTCAGCAAGTCGATACTGGGACATAAACTTCGTCAAATATTGAAGGACTTTCAGTTTAATGGCTCCATGACTTTTCCAATATAGAAATTCTCACGGCGGCCATGTGGGTAATGTAGGTGTTGGGTAATTAAAAATTATGAAAATTGGGATGACCTGAAGCGGCATGTCATTCATACTAAATCTTGCATAAATCCATCATGTTACTCGTAAGGCGTGTGTGAGGAACACAAACAGTGAACGAAAACTAACCTCATTTTAATTATAATGCGAGGAAATTTTACTAGAAATTCCGCGAATGAGTAGGCCTACAGTCCATGGAGTTAGGTCTAGCTGACTGCAGATTCCTTGAATAGTTGACTCTTAGGCCAATAAATATTGTTTAAAGAGTTTATTTGGCAACCAATAATATGCAACTAAGATTAGGAATTATGTACTGGAAACAAATGAGAAAAACTGCGAGTTTCTATCCAGGATAATGTGTTCACCTAAATTCGAAAAAGCCTCTCTAAAAGAAACCTTAAATTTGAGGAAAAATAACCTTATAAGGGCTGTGATGCTGTTACTCTCGAAAATGGAAGGGCAGTGTGAGGTCCTAAGTAGATATTCTGCAATATGTTCTCTCAAATATCTGCACAGCGCATCAGTTACAGGGAAAATTAATTAGGCAGATTCTTTCAACCGGAAGAGCTATAAACTGACGAACTCCGGGCAGGGGCCTCTCAAGCTAAAAGGCGTGCTGACAGCGAAGGTCCCTTCAGTGCAGACCGCCGATCGTCTCTAACGCGTTTTGTATAAGTCTCAAAACAGACAAGTGACTAACATAATAATAAGAACGTGCCACGCCTTATTAAGAAATGGAGAATTTCTTCTGTTTCTGAACTTTTTAATTATATCCAAGACATAATCGAATAATCATGTTCCTTCCTGTTCAGCAGATAATTTTAAATATTTAACAGGGAAAGAGTTATGTAAGATTTGAGGTTTTCACGGCGGTGACTATGAAGAATGAAGACAGTCTGCAGACATCTGCTACAAGCTGGTTCCTTGCTCGCGGATTTTTCCGCCCCAAAGTTGGAGGCGATACTTTCCTCCGAAACGTCGGTTCACACAAGATCTACACGGCTCCACATCCCAGAATACAACATTATTCATAGTCACCGCCGTGAAAACTTCAAATCTTACATATTTGCAATATGCTAATCACATGAACGCATTCGATGCGATTTCTGAAGCTTGCAGGGCTGTGAATATGGGAATTTTAGCGTTCTGGATCGTTTCACCGTGTAGTTTGGTACGCTGTAGCCGTAATCTTCAACTAACTGGATGTTTATGTTGATAATGCCACGCGTAAGAACCTGAGTGTCCCCGCAAGGGGAATGCTGTGCCTTATAGGGACTAACATACATCCTTTACGAGAGCACATGGGACTTGCCCAACTTATTATGTTAGCCCCCCGGAGCATGCAATGGCCCCTTGCGCACTGCGGATCCAGTTGCGCTGATCTGTTAAGACATCTTAATATTTCATCTGTTAATTGCTAGAGATGTTTAAAGCGTATGCATTAGAGCAAGAAACTGCACAGCTCATTTCGGGCGTCACAGTTACTGTAATAGCCTACAGTTCGCCTTTAAAACTTGTTTTTCTTTCTTACCAGAAGAGTGCACATGGGATATCTGAAATACCAAAGGCATTTAAGAGAGGGTCATAACCAGGGCCCGGATTTTGATGACATGTCATCTTGTTTTCCTTGTATCCTATGCGATGCTCTTAAATATATAAATCTCGGATATGAGCTGCTGGTTACAGAAATGTAAATTTTATAGATAATTTTTTGTCATTTTTAGGTTTGAGGTCATTTTTTCATTTTATAGGTAATTTTTTGAACTTCTAATGGTATTTCTTGTCATTTTTGGCCATTTTAGGGAATTTTTCTTCATATGTTTTCTGAAATGTGAATAACATGGAAGCAAAGTGTTCTTTCTTTTCTCCTTTAGGTCATTTTTCTGGATTTTTCAGTCATTTTATAGGTCATTTTTTGATTATTTTCAGGTCATCAAAATCCGGGCCCTGCATATTACATTTTTGGGTCATATTTTAGGTTATTTTTCTGGATTTTTTCGGTCATTTTTTAAATATTTTCAGGTCATCAAAATCCGGGCCCTGGTCATAACTCAGGCTGTAAGTTCCTGATTTCTCACCGACGATGGCGGATTTACAGGGGTCGAAGCGGCACTGAAGCAGGATTCTCACGTAGTTGGTTGAGGCATTATGCTACAAGCCGGAAGGTCGCGGAATCAAGTCCCGATTAGGTCATTGGATTTTTTCAATTGACCTAATCCTTCCAGCCGCACTATGGCTCTTGGGTAGACTCAGCCTCTAACAGAAATGAGTACCAGGAATTAATTAAATAATTTTCCTGGGGAGTAAAGCGCGGCCGGCGCCTAAGACTGACAACCTTACCGCCATCTGTGAGCCGATTGTCTAGAAAATTTGGAAACCTCAACGTCTCACAACCCTATGGCCCTCCACGGCCTGCTACAGGGATACATTTACGTACTCTTACTTATTTCTCCTTTTTAGCCTATTACAGTGGTCGCGCGGTTTAAAACAAGAACTGTATTCACTTGCTCAAACACTGGGATCGTGGGTTCGAATCGCACTTGAAGCACTGATGTCGAGTGCGTTTATTCTTTCTTTTTGTTGTTCTGTGTGCAGCTAGCGGCCTTGTGACGGGATGCTCCCCCGTCAAACAACTCCTACCGACTGTGTAAAAGATTAGTTAGTTAGTTATTGGAGAGGGTGGGTTTCCCCATGCACCGCGACCAGTTTGATCTATTGTGCTTCCCTCTATGATATTCTACCAGTTTCTATACCCTACCGATACTGGTGCTTACCATCAGTCCCGACCCAGCCAGCGAGTTCGGCCTCTACTGGCTTGGCGGTATCTATAATGCTTCCCCCCATCTATCAGAGGCGTTAGAGACTACTGTTGGGCGGGAAATGTCCTTGAATTTGGCTCAGTGACCTCCTTAGGAGATATTAGGTTCTTTTACGTGCCGTAAAGCTACGACACGGGACCCACGGCTTAACGTCCCTCCCGGACGACTTGTTCCCTGAATTTTTCCGCCCTTAAAAATTCCACGACCTCCGCCGGGTTTGAACCCGCGTACTACGAGTCACGAGGTGGGAACGTTACCTCTAGACTACGGAGGCCGCTTGTAAAAGATTAAGAAACTGGAAATGCGGTAAGGGTCCAACAGGGCCGCGCCATAGCTCAAGCGGTTAGTCGCTGGCTTCCCACCGCGGCTGCCCGGGTTCGATTCCGGGTCCGGTGGACAAAGTGGCGCTGGGGCAGGTTTTCTCCGAGTACTTCGGTTTCTCTTGCCAATTTTCACTCCACCAATTGCTCCAGAATCACCCTTTTCCTTTTAAATATTTTATCCTTATCATGTTTCGAGCTTATAGACCATCTTCAGGAGGATATCAATACAATTAGAAACCGCTATTACAATATGTTTTGTGAATATTAATATATACATACATACAATGTTATCATAATACAATGAGTACAAAATCTAATGATTTTAACAAGTACAGCGGCTTGTACTAATACGTTAATTTTTTTTTTATAAATTACATTTAGCGTGTAAGTTTTCAGGTTTTCACGGCGATGACTATGAAGAAGGTCGTCTTCTGGCATCTGGCGCCGTGTATTCTTCGTTTTAACCGTCGTTTCGCACGCAACTCAACTACCCTGAAGATGGAGGCGATATGTTCCTCCGAAACGTCGGTTAAGACGAAGAATACACGACGCCAGATCCAAGAAGACGACTTTCTACATTTAGCATGTTTAAATATTTTTGTAATTTTTTTTTAACCAAATTGGTTCGTGTCCTTTTTATTTCTTCTTTTTGAAGAAAGCGAAGTGTCTACCGCTTTATGAACCATCAGTCACACTGGGCGGAATTAATTAACCTTTTATAATATTGTTCGTGTGACGGACCAGGATGAAACAAATCAAATTTATCGTTTCAATATGATTTACCTTTCCACCGAGCCGTTATTCAGCCAACAAAGTCTCGTTCTCTTACCCTTACGCTTTTCTTATTATGCTGTGTGGGGATAAGTGATAAACTGGTGCACTGCAAGAAGCGCAAGGAGTACTTACTCGTAGAAGCTGACATTGCGAAAGAGAGATGAAATAGAAATTGCAGAAGTTCAGACGGCGCCAGCTATAAAAGAACTCGCGCATGCGCACGTTACTTTAATTGATCTTGATATCCAATTTAATTATTTTTTTGTTATAATTTACCGATCAAACGAGATATCACATGGTATTAAAAGGTTTGCTTATGCGGTCCATTTTGCTTCTTATGAAATGGAGACGCGTCTGTGATTTTGCGCTCCGCTTTCGGTTTCTGCCCAGTCGGTCACTAACCTCAAGTGTCGTGAATTGGAAGTGAACTCTTCCACAGGATAATGACCTTTTCATAGTCTTCAAAGACATACCTTTCATTAGTTTGTATTTTACCATTTCTAGGGCCGCGCCATAGCTCAGGCGGTTAGTCGCTGGCTTCCCACCGCGGCGGCCCGGGTTCGATCCCGGTCTGGTCAAGTGGCATTTATGGTGGACAAAGTGGCGCTGGAGTAGGTTTTCTCAGAGTACTTCGGTTTCCCCTGCCAATCTTCATTCCACCACTTGCTCCACAATCACCCTCACCTATCATCTGGGGCTGGTACAATAGGCCAGAAGTGGCCGCAGTACAAGGGACTTAGTCCCACCCCACTAGCAATAAAAAACAAATACCATTTCTAGTCTGTGTTTATAGTAATGTAATTTTTATCGTGTGTCCAAATCGACACATGAAGTTCTGGATTTCATATTTAAAATGAGGTCACAAGAAGCAACCAAGTCTCAATACACCCCCAGTGCATTAAATATCCATACTTTAACAGGCCGTGGAGGCCCATAGGGTTGTGAGATGTTGAAGTTCCCACATTTTCTAGACAATCGGCTCACAGATGGCGGCAAGGTTGTCAGCCTTATGCGTCGGCCGCCCTTTAATCCCAGCAATATTCCTGGTACTCATTTCTGCTAGAGGCTGAGTTGACCCCATGGTCATAGTGCGGCTGGAAGGATTAAGTCAATTGAAAAAATCCAATGACCTCATCGGGATTCGATCCTGCGACCTCCCGGCTTGTAGCATAGTGCCTCAACCAACTACGCTACCGCACGAGTTATATGCCGAAAGAAACGCAACAATAAATTTGTCATTAAACTAATATCTAGGCATATTTGCTATTACAAATGCAAACACAATATGTTCTCACATTTAACGTATTCTCGCAAAATGTGCAAGTAACTAGGCGTTCCGTTTGGACAAAGAGAGGAACCTAATCATNTTTTTCTTCTACCCTGAAGATGGAGGCGATACGTTCCTCCGAAACGTCGGTTAACACCACTTATACACGGTGCCAAATCCCAGAAGACTGCTTTCTTCATAGTCACCGCCGTGAAAGCCTCAAATCGAACCTAATCATGCTGAACATTTAGCGTTTTACTGAATCAATGGAAGGTTCAAGATATTTGAATGCCAGACTAGTTTCAATGTTACCAACGATAGATGCCTCTAGTGCAGAACACACCCACGCAGCTCCACTTACCTGTGCTTCCGAAGGCAACATATTTCAACTGCAGACAGACAGATACTTTGTTGTTCTGCCGGAATCCCCGTAACCGGGGCTGGGAAGTTGTTGCATTTTAAATCTTCTGCCGCCCAATTTGAGCCCAGTACGCAGCACCGTTTAAATGTCGGTTCCAGAGCACCTGAAATATTCGTTTTTCTAAGTAAGCCTATATGCATTAACTCATATATGCGTAAAAGTAAACGTAAGTAAAGGTATCCCTGTAACAGGCCGTGGAGACCCATAGGGTTGTGAGACGTCGAGGCTCCACAACCCAAACACTTTTCACTGCATTGCTATCAATAATTTCTGTCACTCAGAATCTCAAAGTGAAATTTTGTGGGGAAAATACGACTTTCAGTGTTATCACTTGGCATGCGACCCGTGAAGCGAGGTTTCTCAATTTGCAGTCGTGCGAAGGACGTTACTGAGAGAGTCGCGAAGTGCAACAAAAAAAAGAAACATGAGTTCTGGGAAGAATTAATCGCCTACTATCCTCTCACTCAAAATCGAGTATCTGATAATACAAGTAGGGAAGAGCACTTCAGTGTTACGTCATATTTGCTCCAGGCAAGAAGTCTGAAGCCAGCCTAGCCAGTCGTTACTAGAGAGCGGCTCTGCAAACACGCTCGTTGCTAGGCAACGGATTCGTAACACTAAAAAATGGAGTAACTGGGAAGGGGTGTTCTCTACGCAGTCCGTACGATAGCTACGTGATGCAACGCTATAAGAACCGTTGGGAAAAGCGTTACGGACCACAGGCACGTGACCCCAAGAAGTCTGGTACATTGCTACCAACATTCCGGATGAACCTAATTCCTCCATATGCTACTCCACATTGAAGACGAAGGTTGCAGGTTCCTCCACAACGTTGGTAGTATCGACCAAGCTACACAGGGTCAACTCCAGAACACTGTAATGTTAAAATTCGCTGTTTTGAGTACCTAAATTCTCGTATTTCTATCCTTATTTTCGCTGACTGGGCAACGAGTTAGACCCATACCTGGTCAACAAACTCAGCCAAGCACCTGCTATTCAGGGGCGCCTATTCTGCTACGTAATACAAATCCTGTGGCGACGAACAGCTTAACTAGGAGGAAGTCATTAATTATGTGCGTTTAAGGAAGAATTCTATGTAGATAGGCACTTCAAGATTAAGGTCAGAGTAATAAAAACAAAGCCTTGAACTGTAGAAGTCATAAACCACTGAAGAGTAAGTAGTTATAATGAAGAGGCTTTCCTTTTGCAAGGATCTGGCACGAGGCAATGTGTTGGGCAAACAGCCTGCCACTTCTAGAATACCACGCACATATACAAGAGTTTTTCTCACACAAAAATAAAAGATATAAACTCTTATACCGCAACACAGAAAGTACTTCAGAGCGTCACAATAACTCAGCCGCATGGACTGGGCGGCCGGGGTTTAATTCCTGGAAGGTGTAGGTATTTCTCTCTTCTCCACAGCTTTCGAACCCACTGAACTTCCCGTCCGGCATGTACTGGGGGTAGAGCGGCGGGGTGTGAAGCTAACCACTAGCCTCCCTTCAGTCCCGTACGGTCTCGATACTGGCAGCGTCTTAAATAACCGGCATTAAATTAGAAATTGTGGAGCCAAAACTTCACTCCCCTATGCGCGCCCATGGCGTGTTGCTTAATTAAGTACTGGGACCAGTGGGCCTAGGCCTACCTTCATGAACTTCTCCGTTCACTTCAGTACTGGGACTTTACCGTTGCGAAAATAAATGTAATTCTGAAGAAAGCAGTCTTCTGGGATTTGGCACCGTGTATATGTGGTGTTAACCGACGTTTCGGAGGAACGTCGGTTAACACCACATATACACGGTGCCAAATCCCAGAAGACTGCTTTCTTCAGAATTACATTTATTTTCGCAACGGTAAAGTCCCAGTACTGAAGTGAACGGAGAAGTTCATGAAGGTAGGCCTAGGCCCACTGGTCCCAGTACTTAATTAAGCAACACGCCATGGGCGCGCATAGGGGAGTGAAGTTTTGGCTCCACAATTTCTAATTTAATGCCGGTTATTTAAGACGCTGCCAGTATCGAGACCGTACGGGACTGAAGGGAGGCTAGTGGTTAGCTTCACACCCCGCCGCTCTACCCCCAGTACNACTAGCCGCTTGAGCTATGACGCGGCCTCACGAAATATGTATATATATATATATATATATATATTCAAATCAAATATTATAAAGTAAAATGCAATATAATTTGCAAATATTAAGGGCAGTGTAGAAAGCACTAATGCGACATATTCAAATGGAAAATATGAAAAATGTTCTGTTGTAAAAACTGCTACTTGAAGATAAAAAAGTATGTTCCGCCGAAACGTCGATAAAATTCTACCAAAGTACACGGCGTCATATCCCGAATGGCAGTACTATTCGATCGTCACCAGGAGAATCTCAGACCTCACAAATCAAAATTGCGCAGAATTCAGCTACAAGTGTGAACTCATTCAGTCGAACATGTTTATTGTCCATTTCTCACTTTCTGTTTATTCCTGTTAAGCTTCCGATGTGTATATGTTGTAGTTATCACCTGAGAACTTCACGGAAGTTTGTTCGAGATACAGATAAACTTCCCTCCTGTATGAACTCGATTCCCCCAATCACAACACACACCATTCATTTCTGTGGGTAAACAGTGAAAGAGGAACAAATAAGGCCTATCACGAAATCATTCTTCACAGCCGTTGCTGAAGCCTTGTACACGTACACAAGTTACGTAAGTCACGGGGGTTCGTGTCAGTTCTAGTTGCTCTGATATGTTGCATGCACTTACGAATATTGACAATTTTATATCTTATCAGCAGCGAAACAAATTCTCGACAGAAGACTGGTAAACACCTCATATGAATTAACACTGCAGAAACTAATTTCCTCTCTGAATTCCGTTTCGCGAATTACTTTTCAACGCTCGCCAGTCTACATAAATCCATTTTCTTGAAAACAGCTTCTCAGATTTAATGCCCGAAAATTCTGAGACAGATTACCTTGACTAAAGGGCCTCGTAGCGTCCATTTTGTCTGCGCAGTTCTAAGACGTCAGGTAAGACGGAACGCTAACGAGGGAACAGACATTCCTTTTTGTGCTCAGTTTTGGCGGATCCTGCACGGAGCAACATGCTGGGGGAACTTTTAATTTACACCGCTCTAGCGTTAGCTTTTAGATCAAAAACTAAAAAGAAAAGGATTAGGTCAAAATGGGCAAAGGCTTGGTTACTTAAACGAAGTAACCTCTCGCATATAAAGTTACTGGAAGATTTAACTCTAGAACCGGGTGATTGGTACAATTAGTTACGGCTGGACAATGAGACTTATTTACAACTTCTTCATTTGGTAGCGTCACATATCAGAAAGAATGATAGTGCAATGCAATCCAAATTGCTGACACTCTGTCTGGGAAGTTCTTATCCGTTAAAAATAAAAGGTCATCTAGTACCATGAACTTCACGCATAATTACCTTCTGTTCCATTGCCAGACATCTGACAATCTTTGACTTTCTCGAGTTCTTTCCGAAAACAACTTCGTAGTGAATTCATTGTTTACCACTGTTTCCTCTGTTGCTTCTGGATCAATTTCCGATAACTTAACTCGTAACTGTTCATGAGCAAGATTATTTTTTGTTTTTATCAGGGTACTCTTTACTTTTGATCTTCCACAAACACGGATCACTGCGATACAGCTGAATGAATTCGCACAAAAATGCTCGGGGTAGGATTCTCAAGTCCGACATATCGAAGTGCACAGTTGGAACGATTAAACTGACGCTAAAACTGTAGGCCCCCCACACTCTGCAACTTGCTCGCAGACATTTCTGTACACGCACAGAAAAATCAGTCGCTGACATATTTACTTCAAGCCAAGCCTAAGACAGTACAGGGACGAACATTCTATAAAAAAAAACGGACCGCCTTACCTGACGTCTGAGAACTGCGCAGGCAAAACGAACGTTGAAACGGGCCGTCTATGGGGCCCTTAAGACGTTTACTCGTACTACGGCGAGTGTTAGCTCATAGGGTCTTCTGGTAAGTCATGTTTTATTGGGATTTGAGGTTTTCACGGCGGTGACTATGAAGAATGCCCTCTTCTGGGATGTGGATATATATGGATATTGTGTTAACCGACGTTTCGGAAGAACGTATCGCCTCCATTTTCAGGTGCACCTGCTCACGCTGGTTCTTCGCTTGCGGATTTTCTTCATTTTTCTTCTACCCTGAAGATGGAGGCGATACGTTCCTCCGATACGTCGGTTAACACAATATCTACACGGTGCCACATCCCAGAAAACTGCTTTCTTCAAATTAAATTCGATTTCCGCTTTGGACGTTTTTTATGTATGTGTGTGCGTGTGAGGGGGGATATTTTACAACCCCGCAGAGATCGCGAATATAGCATAACATGATAAATAATGTATTGGAAAGGATTTGGAAGGAAACAGTCGTGACCTAATCGAGGTTCTATAATGAATGATATTTCTTGGAGGGACTGACAAAAATCACGAAAAACATTAGTACAAATTTATGATGTCTAGGCCGGGATTCGAACAGAGCGTCTCCTGAATCCAGAGCGACACCGATTCTTTTTTGATTCGCTTACTGGGGGTGGAGTCCAACTGGGTCCACTCGGTACGGCGGCCACTGATTGGCCTATTGTAGCCTGCCCCGTGTGATTATGATGATGGAGAATTTTGTGGAATGAAGTTGGCAGGGGGAACCGAAGTACTCAGAGAAAACATGCCCCAGCACCACTTTGTCCACCACAAATCCCACTTGACCAGACCCGGGATCGAACCCGGGCCGTCGCGGTGAGAAGCCACAGACTAACCGCTTGAGCTATGGCGCGGCCTGCGAGCGACGCCAATAAACCAACCTGTTCGGAAGTTTTACGCTACAGAATAGTAACAAATATCCAGTGTTTGCTTTTGAAGACATAAGAAACTTTCAACTACTATTTAAGATCTGAAATCCTCGAGGCAGTTACTATGAAGATTAATGTCATTTGTGATGCGAAGGGTGCAGTCTAGAAGACACAAGGCGTCATATTCCTGAAGTCGGTAATTTTCTAAGACTACCCCTGTTCTTCAAATTTCTGTTTCAAGCCCATTAGCATCTTGTGATTACACGGAGTCAAAGATAAATATTTAGAAAAATTATTTCTTGTCTCATATTTTGAATATACGAGATATGTTCTACGTATATTCTGAGTTTGTATGGACAGACAAATGGATCGTAGATTATTTCAAAACCTTGTGTCAACTACGTCAAATGATAAGAGAGGATAATCGTGTTCAGTGAACAGGAAGGAACTGGTGAGGAAGAGGTCCCTGCAAAATTTAAGGATCTGACCCTACATTCAGCCAGAGAAACTGAGAAAGAACAACAGTTCTCATACAGGAGAGTGCGTCCCTGTCGAAATTAGAAAAGGGGCACCTTACAATGCAAGTCACAATCGATAGTCTCTGGGTCACTAAGTGTGTACCCCTCGTATGTGCCTGAGTAACTCCACGGAGCCGAGCCTTTCTTGGGAAGCCGCCAGTCGCTCAGCCACTCAAGAACTTCCCAACGTTTCATGGAACCTGAAGGTTCATTACCGTGTCCAAAAGAGCCCTCCATTAGTCCCTATCCTGAACCAGATAAATCCAATCCATACCGCCCCATCCTATCTGTCAGAGATCCATTTTATTATTATCCTTCCACCTACATCTTGGTTTTCCTATTGGTCTCCTTCCTTCTGGTTTTCCCGCCAATATTACATATGTGCATGCCCGCTCACTTCCATTTGTTCTACATGCCCTGCGAATCTCATCGCGAAAAATAAAGTAATTTCACTAAAACAATAATATTCAGGAAGCAAACTGTCTTCTATAGTGTACACTACTTTGATCTTGTGATAACATAAAGATTATTTTTGCGTCTAATCTGTGTTCAAAGATTTTTGTTATAGAGTAGCCACACATGGCAAGGTTTAAGATACCGCATTTTCCTATAAAACTTAAAATGGCTACCCACCAATAAAATCTGAGTTCACAAGTCAACATAGCTTTGTTATTACGCCGAGTTTACAGTTTCCATGGCAAATTTATTTACCTTCAGTGAAAATATAATTTTCATAGGATGAGCAGGACTTGCTTTTCAAATGAATGTTTGATGTTGATGACATTGAACAATTGCAATAATAAATCAGTAACTAACCTATCAGGCCGCGTCATAGCTCAAGCGGTTAATCGCTGGCTTCCCATCGCGGCGGCACGGGTTCGATCCCGGGTCTGGTCAAGTGGGATTTGTGGAGGACAGATTGGCGCTGGGGCAGATTTTCTCCGAGTACTTCGGCTTCCCCTGCCAAGCTTCACTTCACCAATTTCTCCACACTCATCCTCACCTATCATCTGGGGCTGGTACAATAGGCCAGAAGTGGCCGCAGTACAAGGGACTTGGTCCCACCCCACTAGCAATAAAATAAAAAGAAGAACCTAACATATTTAACGAGTAAATGATCTGAATTGTATTCATAATTTTTGCCTGGCTAAATTAAATATGAATTCAACAAGAACACGGCAAATTTGTCCCTGGACCTAAGTACCATGTAACCAGTGCTTATGGATTGGAAAGTCTGTAACTCGTGGTCTCAGAAGCAGATGTAGCTAGACGGTCAGTTTCAGACTCCAGACACTTTATCTCTGAGGAAATAACCAGCCTCCTAATGTACACTTGATACAAGTTTGAGTAGGCTACAGAACCGAATTCAACGTGGCGATAAAAACAAAACCTTTGCCCCCACCGATTGCTGAAACCTCGGTTGTCCAAGGAGTAGCCACCCGTATTTAAACACAGGGACAGTTCCGTCAGTGTCTGCAAAGTTTCGTGTTGCAAATTGTGAAGAAGTTTGAGAACTCTGCTATGTTTCCAACTGGAGGAAATGGAGGTAAACTTTTGTCATCTGAGAGAAGACGAATCAAGCAGACAGCTTCGTGTAAGACAATGCACAATTCTTTTTCACCATTCACGAGTGAGAGAACATAGTTTAGTCGAAGTACTTTAGGCGATAAGTAAAAAAAAAAAAAAGTAAAGCTATCCCTGTAGCAGGCCGTGGAGGCCCATAGGGCTGTGAGATGTTGAGGCTCCCACATTTTCTAGACAATCGGCTCACAGATGGCGGTAAGGTTGTCAGCCTTACGCGCCGGCCGCCCTTTACTCCCAAGAATATTCTTGGTACCCCAGTTCTGTTAGAGGCTGAGTCGACCCCAGGGCCATAGTGCGGCTGGAAGGATTACGTCAATTGAAAAAATCCAATGACCTCATCGGGACTTGAACCCACGACCTTCCGGCTCGTAGCAACTACGCTACCGCTTGCACGTGGAGATATATGTAAACATGTGCATCCTCTGCAAACATCATTCATTAGCCACAATTAATTTGGTGCTTACTATAATCTCTACATTAATATGGATGAACTTAAAATTAGAGACACAAACCGTCTTTCTAATAAATAACATGCAAAATGCGTCAGTTCAGCAGCGCTCAAAGCAAGTTCAACTTACATTTGCATGCATGAAGAAGAAGGCACAGAACCACAAGGGGCAGCAACCATCGAATCCCCTTGGCGATGAGACACATCTTACTCTGCTAGTCTCTGGAGATCCACTGATCAGTGGACGTGCCGTCCGTGCAGGACGCGAGCAGCTCCATGACAACCCCGCGCAGCCGTGGCCACATTCGCAGGTTGCGCCCCATTTTCTTCAGTTTTCCGGGCCGCTGGAGACAGCTTACACCAAATAACACAAATCTCATTTGCTCCCAATCAGTGCTTACATACACTAAGAGTAATGACGACGGATTTTCATGTTTAGCTTTAAGAAAACAATGACTTCTTTTGTTCGCTTATTTGCAAGGTAAATTATTTTACTGCAAGTGAGGTTTTCACGGCTGTGATGATCTCGATTTTGGTCTTTTGGATAAAGATACTTTGCAGTCTAATGGGTGGTTACAAATGTTGGGAAGGCACCTCCTGGGCCAGATGTAACGAGAAGCGTCGTCCCTGTGTCTCCAAGAACAGCACTAGATCCATAGATTGCACTGAGACAGTTGCTCCTCTAAAATAAACGAAAAGTTAATTGGTATTGTTACTTATAAGGGCTGCGCCATAGCTCAAGCGGTTAGTCGCTGGCTTCCCACCTCGGCGGCCCGTGTTCGATCCCGGGTCTGGTGGACAAAGTGGCGCTGGGGCAGATTTTCTCCGAGTACTTCAATTTCCCCTGCCAATCTTCATTCCACCAATTGCTCCACAATCACCCTCACCTATCATCTGGGGCTGGTACAATATGCCAGAAGTGGCCGCAGTGTAAGGGACTTAGTCCCGCCCCACTAGCAATAAAAGAAATAATAATGAGAAAATCAACAAAAACAAAAGAACTCTCATAACCTAAATTTATTACCGTCATGGACCTCCATTTTTTGGTAGAACAGACTTGCCTAACATTCTGTAGCAGGTGCGTCTATTTACCATGCAAAATGTTGCCTTATCCGCACATATTTACATTAACATCACAAACACATGGGCGCAACGGCCTGTTACAGGGATAACTATACATTTTTTTCTTTTTGCACAACATGAGAGTACTTTCAGGAAACAGAAAATTGTATGATGATGTGTTATGATGCCCGAAAGCCGGAAGAGTGAAATCAGAGGACATGTCCATTGCTAGGCAATTGCTCAGTAAACACATTCCCACAACAACAAATAAGCATGCAACAATAGAACAATCCGTTTGTAAGCAATGGATCGGTAAACATACAACAAAAGGGGTATTGCTGGAAACGGTGTTTTCTGTTCAGTCCGTGCAAAGTGGTTATAAAGGAAATTTCAGTTAAGAAGAGTTAGTTGAGTTTCGAGATGCCAGTTTGCCACAATATGAACTTCGGAGTAGAGCAATTGAATTGAGTTCCGGAGTTGGCCGTTGCAGCAGACACTTGAGAGAGTTAGTAGTCAAAGGTGACTGAAAATAATGGCAAGAAGGGAATTAGGCTGTCAAAGAAGCCTTAATGTGTGATTTGAAGTGACATGACAATGAGACTGTTACAATGTCGTTGCCAGGAAACAGCTAGTGGAGAGTGAAGACTGAGAATTCTAGTGTGTTTGCAGCAGTGAACTGTAAAGTGCAGAGATTAGCGATAGTGCTGTAATTGCTGTAGTTCAGAGTACTGTGTATAAAGTGTCAATAAATCCCATAATCCACTCAAAAACACGTCTATAAGTCACACATAACTACTACATATGACATAAAGGGCAGAAGAAAATGTGTATTGTAAAGTTAGTAGTAGTAACCAAATGCAGGGCCAGGCTTATATCTGTGGAGGCCATGAGGCAATCAAAAATATGCAGGCCCCCAACAGTAACTACAAATATAGGTTATGCCAGTTCTTATTTTTCTTGCAATAAAAAAACAGAAACTAACATTTTGTGACTTTGGAGAGGCAAACGTCTCAACAGAATATGGGATTCTGTTTCTGTTTTGTGTAGGCCCTGGTGTGACTATCGTGGACATTCCTCCTTAAATTTGGAAATTATCAGATGCAATCTTTCGACACACTCTAGACGAAACAGAATCATACATTAAATTGTTTTTATTGATCTTTGTTTGTACTACATCTCTTTTTTACATAGAACATCCATACAGACACACAGAAGCAAACATACAGTTTGTAGGACACCAACAGTGATTTACATGTTACCAAACAGTAGGTGAACTTACACAGAAAGAAAATAAACCATCTTTTGCTCCTTTCATACATCAAGGAACAAACAAAATATTTTTAATAGAACTTGAATGATATATGGAACTCCTGCTCCAAATTATTCAGTGCCATACTATGTTGGCACAATTTAAATAAATTAATTATATACATTCATTTAAATGTGAGCCTGAAAGTCTTTATAAGTTTTGATTGCAAAGTGTTCCTCATATCTGCTCATTTCAAAACACAAATCTGTAAAGTGGAATACAAACAATATCATGAAAGGATTGACAATGTCTGTCAAAATAATATTAAAATTTTCATAAACTCTTATTCTCTGCTCCTGCAACTCCATTGTGAGCATTGGAGCACAGATGTTGGTAAATTGTGTGTCAGTACCTTACAGTGAATTATTCTCTGCAATAAAATAAAACATATATTCATCATATGCACATTAAAATAACTAGATATTAAATACAGAACATTCAGTTACATTTGTACCAACATAAGAAAAAAAACTGCAGAAGAATAAGCTGCTTTTATGCAAAGCCAAGTCATGATGAATGTATTCCTTCTGTCTGAACTTCACTATAATTAAGCAAAACAAGGATTGTATCACAAAATCATATCATACATAATCCCTTAGTGTCTAAGAATCAGAAGATGTAAAAAGCAGAAGGTTTTCTTGAGCCAGTATTACAGGCTCCACCTCTATCAAAATATTTCCTCCACATAACACCACCACTTACTGCATATTTTTATTCTATCAAGCGTAGTATCTTGCAAAATTAAACACAGTTACATTTTCAGAACCTTTCAAGATACTGAGTTAGATAATTTTCACAAAGTGCGCTTTTAACAATATCCCATTGAAATTACAACAGGATTTATACTGGTGTTCATAATTTTAGTACAAAATGTTCTCCCAACACACCTCATTGTCTTCTGCTTCTGAAAATTAAAATATATTTCCTTGAGCAATGAGCTTCAAATTTCTGTTTTACACAGATTTTATAAAATCCAACATTTACAAACAAAACTCTCAAAAATACTTGGCAATGATGATGATTATACCACTTGTAATACAATTTTAAGTAATATATTATTATGTACTATCTTCCATGGAAGAAATGGAGAAGACAAAATATGATTAACAGATTAAAATCACGGTATGTCAATATGAATATATATTTTATATATTTAATATCTCAAATCTCATTAATTCTACATTTCATTTCCACTTTGAATCCTTCATATGCCACTTTCAGCACATACACACCAAACTTAAAATGTTATGTTAAATTTATTTTGTATTCAACCAATAAAATATTAAATCACAAGCGCTCTCTTTGGACTCATATGAGGAATAAACACATTTATATATAATTACTTTTCTTAAAACAACACACACGTTAGTCATAATTAATATACCATTATCTAGTTCCCCGAAGATATAGAACATAACTGCGCAGATCACAGACTTATGGAATATAATTTCATATACTTAGTTTAGTATGCAGGTTCCTCCAAAACACTGGCACCTTTCTCTCAAACTATTTGCGTCATATCCCAGAAGGCCATGATATTAACATTCATGGCTATGAGAACCTGAAATCTGTAATTTATAAAACCTGTAATTAGCCTGTCAGCATTGCACAGAAATGGCATTACAAAGGATTGTGGTGTTTGAGATTTATGCAAGGCAGAAATATTTATGTTACTTTGATATGGATGCCATATTTTGACACTTTGTATACCAAATATCTACAATATCCTGTACATCCTAAATTGCAATCTATTTGTACAAATTCAATGATATGCACATCCCCTTTCCTTCTTACAATCTTTGGTAAATAGTCTGCACAGTGAGCATCATAACATTGGTTAGGAAGCTGAGGATAATATTTCAGAAAACAACTCAGTTTATTACTGGTGAGACTACAGAAGGCACATACAGTAGAATCTGAATTGTCCATGAATGGCTACATTAGTTTATGGATTAACTGTAGTGCTTTCAGATATGACAGTAGCTAAAATACAGGATCCTTTCATAAACTGCTTTCATGAAAGTTCTATTTCTTAAGAAAAGAAGTGTGTGTACTAACATAAGTCAGTAAATATGCGGCCTCAGCTTGCAGTCCATGGTTCTCTATGCAGATAAGCAAATGATTAAATTCTATATGGACAGCATGACAACATGCAGCTTCCAGTACACTTATATTAATTTCTACAATGCACAGCTTCAAATCAGTGTGACTTTTGGCGTTTGCTGCATAAAAATGTGATCATTTACCTTGCCTTATAACCAAAAATCACAGTGAATTAGCTCACCAAACTTACAAGCAAGGCCAGATGGCTTCTTTCTTCTTAATCAATATTACTTTTCTAAAAGTGGCAATAAATTATCAAAGAAGCTTGTATAAAGAAAATGTCTATTTACAAAGTGCCCATACTCATCTCTTTCGCTGTTTGAAAATCTGAACTGTAAGGGTTGTGATGTGTCACAGCAATTTGCTTCACTCTTTATAAGAATATATTTTTGATCTTAGTACTTCAGTCTGTTTAACTTTTACAACTCAAGAAAATTATAAAATAATTATAAACAGGCATCATTAAGCATCTATTGAAAAGCATTTTTTTATTCTGGAAGAAGCTTTCACTTTTAGAAGCTATGTATGACTTAACAAATCCATGGAATATAATAAACTGCCGTAATCAAATAACGGGAAAAATATTTTTCTATAAAATGAAGAAAATGAATGCTCTATTTTGACGAGGAAACAGTAATTTATATGGCTGATGTATATCTCATGCAAAATATTATTATAATGCAGATACAGAATAGTACTTTACAGCTGACTATATGAAATATTGACTGAAAAGAACAAACAATTGAAACAGACAAAAGTCCAGTTGAAG